AAAAACATGTAGGGAACACAGGAGAGAACTTGAAGCTCAGGGATTAATGAGTGAGCAAAAGCAATATAAAGAGTTTCCTGATTGGTTCCGTTCACGAGTAAGTTCTAGACTTTGAGCTTTGAAGTTTATATTAATAATATTAATGCATATTGAAGGAATGGTTCTTCTTTAATAGGTGATAGCATTGTCCACACAAGGCTTTGTAAGTCCTGAACTCAGAAGTTTATCAATTGGTCCATCGAGAGTGGTCAATCGTTACTCTATGTTTATAGGCAATGGATTTCGTTTTCATGCAAAAGATCGGGCAATAGGAAAAAGAACTCAAAATGATGGAGTCATGGCCAAGGGTGATGACACTGATGCTAATAAAGAATATTATGGTGTGTTAGAGCATATTTATGAGTTATCTTACATAGAGAATAAAAAATTATACTTGTTTAAGTGTCACTGGTGGGATGTCGCTAACTATGGCGAAGGATATAAGGTGGATAAGTATGGGTTCACAAGTATCAACACTCAATGTTCATTACAAACTAATGAACCATTTATTTTAGCATCTCAAGCAGAGCAAGTTTTTTATGTGGATGATATTGTTGACCCGGGTTGGATTGTTGTTGTCAAAACGAATCCACGTGACTTGTTCAATATGCCGATTGAGAATGTTAATGTTGGTAGTGATGTTAATATTGCAATGGTTGATGAAGAGCCTTATCAACAATTGGTGGTTGATTTAAATGCAAGTCTTATACAGCATGATATCTTTATTGACTTGTGTGGAGATGATGTACAACCCCAAACTTTCATTCAAGTAGGAGAACCATCACAAAGAAGTAATATGGAGATTGGATTTATTGATGATAGTGAATCTAATTCACTAGTTCATGACGATAGTGATGAAGAAGATGTGCTTGATGGTAATGATAGTGATACTGAAGAAGAAAGTGACATTGAAGGTGAAATAGAAGATGATGATACAAGTGATAGTACCACAGAGGACTCAACAGAATGAAACTACAATCCTCATAAATGGTAGTTTTTATTAATATATTCTTAACAAGTTAGATTTTGTAATTTTTTTAATATATACTATCTTCATAAAGAGTAGTTTTATTAACATAAAAAACAATCTAAATTTTGTACATTATTGCAGGATATGTCAGGGCTAAAGAGAGGACGGGGTGGGAGAAGCTCTTCCTTCACACGACATGGCAGCACAAGTAGTGGAGGTATTAGCTCTACCCCTGCAATTGGACATACCATTTCACCTCGACCACTCCAAGTACAATTTGAGGAATTGCCTGCCGACTCTCCCCCTACTCAAAACAGTAGTGCAGGTAAATTTTCTTTACTTTTATATAATACAAGTAACTAATTAGCATCACATACTTTTGACTATATTATTTGTTCACTTGAATGATAGGCTCTTCTAATATAATTAAGAAAGGTAGAGGAGTTTATAAGTCGCTCAATGTGGACTTAATGACTAAATTTGGAGGAAAGATTCAGCTTACTTTCACAGATGACATGACAAGAGCAGTAGGGCAAGGAGCAAGAGAGCTAGCTAATTATTGTGGTTATGTTATTAGAACCACAATATCTTTGAAGGATTGTGCTGAATGGAGGAATGTTTACACAAATTATATTGATGTTATGATTTTAAAAGTGAAGGTACAATTTATGTTTAGTAAATGTATATCCTACTTTATTTATGCTTTCAAAACAAGTACTTATGCTGATATTGATTTTTATTTTAGGAAAAATTTCAACCTGCTGTTGCAACAGATGAAGAGAAGTTTCAAAAGATGATAGTGACCACATTGCAAAATGCTTTCAGAAATTGGAAGACCAACTTGCATACCCACTATAAGAAATTTGACACTGATGAAGAAAGGTTGGCAAATCCACCTCAAACTGTAAGTTTTGAAGATTGGGAGTGGTTATTGACATATTTTCAGTCAGATCCATTTAAGGTATCTTACTAAATACTAACTATTTAAATGAATAATATAATTATATCATTCAACATACTTAGTAGTTACTCAAATTTGATGTAGAACAAAAGTGCTAGAAACACACAAAACCGAGCAAAACAAGTAACAAAGCATACATGTGGTCCCCGATCATTTGCGGAGGTTGAGTTCTCTGTAGTAAGTTGCCTCTTCACTACACTTTATTTTTTTATCCATTTTTTTATTTTTCAAGATTTGTTATTTTTGTATATTATGCTTTATAGAGAGACCCCACCACTGGACAGCCTGCCCCCCCAGATCAGGTTTGGGAGATAACACATACTAGGAAGACTGCAGATGGCCAGTTACAGTGGGTGGATTCGCGATCTGAAGAGATTCATGTATGTATAAATATCTGTCCTTTATATTTAATTAAATAATTATATTTTTTTCATTCATGTAATTTGTAATTTGTAACTATAGGATCGCATGCATGAGCTCGTTCAGCAGCAATCCTTAGAGAGTGATGCTCGAATGACCTCTGATGAGATATTGACAGCTGTTCTTGGTGAGAGGTCAGGATATGTTAGAGGAAAAGGTTATGGAGCAGAGCCTCGGAGGAAGAGACTTCACACTCAATCTAGTGATTCACTTGAGAATGTACGCACCCAATTGTATGAAGAGTTTGAAAGAAGATTTCAAGAGGAGCGAGAAAAGATGGAAGCAAATCTTGCTGCAGAGCGAGAGAGGATGGAAGCAGAACGTGCAGCAGAGCGAGAAAAGATAGAAGCAGAACGTGCTGCAGAGCGAGCAAAGATGGAAGCAGAGCGTACGCAACTTGAACAAAGGATGGAGCAGTTGATGGAACAGAGAATACAAGCTCAGTTCACTGCTTTCATGCAAAAGATGCAGTTAAATGCTCCTGCAGATACCCCTACTTCTAGCGTCCCTAATATTGATCCCTCTACGTAATTTTTTTTCTGTATTATGTAATGTATCTTTTAATTGAATAATTTTTTTTTTCAGTTAGAGACATAAAGAACACTTTCATGGTTATAAATCTTATTATTTAATATACCATATTTGTGTGTTAATTACTTTATTTTTATTAAACCTTTTAATAATATTTATCAGCAATATAAATAAAAGTTTTTGCAGAATTAATATATTATAAAAATAATTAAAATCACAATCAGCGGCGACATTTGTCGCCGCCGAAGCTTGATTCGGCGGCGACCAAAATGTCGCCGCCGAATAAAGCTTCGGCGGCGACCACAATGTCGCCGCCGAATCAAGCTTCGGCGGCGACCACAATGTCGCCGCCGAATCAAGCTTCGGCGGCGACCACAATGTCGCCGCCGAATCAAGCTTCGGCGGCGACCAAAATGTCGCCGCCGAATCAAGCTTCTGCGGCGACCAAAATGTCGCCGCCGAATCAAGATTCGGCGGCGACCACAATGTCGCCGCCGAATCAAGCTTCGGCGGCGACCACAATGTCGCCGCCGAATCAAGCTTCGGCGGCGACCAAAATGTCGCCGCCGAATCAAGCTTCTGCGGCGACCAAAATGTCGCCGCCGAATCAAGCTTCGGCGGCGACCACAATGTCGCCGCCGAAGCAAGCTTCCGCGGCGACATTAGTCGCCGCTGATTCTCATGTTTCAGTGGCGACACTTCTGAGTGGCAAACTCATCAGCTTTCAGCGGCGACAGAATGTCGCCGCTGAAAGGTGTTTCAGCGGCGACAGAATGTCGCCGCTGAATGTCCAGTTTCAGCGGCGACTTTTTTTGTCGCCGCTGATAAGTTTCAGCCACAGTCGCTACGGCAACGACTTGGTGGCGACAAAATGTCGCCGCTGAAGCTTTTCAGCGGCGACTTTTGGACTTTCAGCGGCGACATTTGTCGCCGCTGAAAGTCGAATTTTTTGTAGTGGAAGATGTTTGGGACTTTCAGAAAATTTCACATTCTTAAAAATGAGAATTTCGAGTTGTTTCATATTCTTGAAAGCTTTTCCATCCCAGTATACCTCCATGCATCCCGACGAATTGTCTTGAATTATGATTCTAACCTTATTTGTGCCCTTTCAAAGCAATAATAAAGCAAGTTAGGGAATATTAAAAGTTTAATTTGAAGCATCTATGATAATATAGATTAATAGATGGAAAACTTTTTCCAAAACTTCAAAACGGTGACATACTTTGGCATATACAATCCCCGAACCCGAACCAAGTAACCCCCCCCCCCAAAAAATCAAAAAAAAGTGAAAAGCAGAAAAGACAGAAAGAAATAAAAGACATCTTTTTTCACTGTATTCATTATATTTCCTGCTCAACTCTTACTCTAGCTATCTACGTTTACAAAAGCACACACTCTCCAACTTGTTTCCTTACATAAACATGAAGTTAAAGGTGCAAATTTACTTCAAAATTTTTTTACTAGGAACGCTGCGCATTTGGAATTCTTTTTGGAAGCAAATTTGTCCTGAGAATTTAAAGTTATAACAATATTGTCTCTTGCTGTTGAGAAACTAACATTCAATATTGTTATAATTTTAAACTTCCAAAGCAAATTTACTCTACAAAAAACTTCCAGGTACCCCAACTTCTTGAGAAAAAACTTCTTTTCTGAAAAAAGAAAATTTGAAACAAGTGCCATTCTTAGGCTCCTCATAGGATGAGATCGCTTATCGAATGATTATAAATTATATATATATATATATATATATTTTTGAAAGCACGAAAATATCATTGGATAAAGACTATAAAATCAGTTCTAAAAATCCACCAGGTCATGCACCATTGAAAAGTCTTTTTTGGGGAAAAAACATTATGCCAAAATCTCTTCCATTCAACCTGTTTCATTAAATCCCATGCAGTGAATCTATGAGTGAGATAAAAGGAGTCAATAACTATGCATAAAAAAACGAATTAATAACTTCACATAGCAAGGAAAATAAACATAGATCACATCACTAAGGATATTCCACCGAGAAATTGTGAAAAAGAACAATAAAATTGCAAGGCAAAAAAGAAAGAAAAAAAGTAAATCATCCCACTAAATGTTACTTACTGTATTGTCTTCCAAAACATCAACAATATCTTGATGAAACCATAGTCTACTCCGTTTTCCTGGGTTATTTGGTGATTCCTCACGAACAATTTCTCTCCCCATGTCTTGTATCAAATCATGCATTTGGATGCAATCATTTTCAATATTTATGAGGCATTTATCTACTAACACTCCAATAAAATAACTTAAATTATTGGAGCCATGAGCTACTTCCACCATATGTTTGACATATTTCAAACGTTTCCCTCTGTAAAAACAAGCAATATCAAGAAATATTTCTTTCTCAACTGGTTCCAGGGCCACATAGCTTACCTTCAATACTTGTTGAATGTTTTCATTAGGGATTGATTTATATCCATCTAACATAGATGTCCACTCTTCTGTGCTCTTTCCATGCAAGTTGGAACCTATTACTTGAAGGGCTAGTGGAAGGCCTTGTGCATATTTTACTGCCCGCTTCAACACCCCCATGTGACTTGGATTTGCTTGGTTGTCTCTAAAAGCATTCCAAGTCAACAATTCAAGAGATTCATGAACGTTGAAAGCCTCCATGTTGTATATGCTTTCAACCCCATGTCTTACAAGTAAATGTCTATCCCTTGTCGTTATAATGATCCTGCTCCCATCACCAAACCAACTGCAATCACCAGCTAAATTTTCCAATTGCTCATGTCTGTCAACATTATCAAGAATCAAAAGAATTTTCTTTTGTTTGAGTCTTCTTTTTATTACTTCAACTCCTTCATTAACATCTTGTATTTTGATGTCCACTCCTACAATCTTTGAAAGCATTGTCTCTTGAATTTGTTCTAGGCCAATTTTCCTTGATTTTTCTCGGACATCAAGGAGAAAGCACAAACCATCAAAATTATCAGCAACTGAATTATACACAGCACGTGCTATTGTTGTTTTACCAATTCCCCCAGTTCCACAAATTCCAACCATGGTGACCCTGTCATTTGACTCAATCTGTAATAGAGAGTTGACAGCTGGCACTCGGGACTCTAACCCAACAGGACATGCAGCAACATGTAAAGGAACTCGATTAATTTTGCTGGAGACTTCTTTCACAATGCCATCAATGAATCGATATTCATAACAACCTTGGCTGCAAAAAAATTGCAAAAAAGTATGTCAATTCTAGTTGAATTCATCCTAGCAATAAATATATGTCTATTTACTTGTAAACTAATTTGACTCTCGAAAAGGAGAAAAACCAGTATTAAAAAAAAAAAAAAGGATAAAAGTTTGGGAATCACTTCGGATTAAAATGGAAGCCAGAAATATTAGACACTTCACGTAATGCGACCTTCCAACTTTGGATCGTCTCCCCACCAGCCCTGAGGTTTTCCATATGCATGGATATTGCTTGTTCATAATTTTCTTTTTGATGTCGCACTTCTGAAGGCTCTATATCATAAAAAATTGGCAAAACCAACCGATCCTTTTTCTTAATGCACTGGTGAATCATAACAAGTTCGTTGAGACAAAATGTGGATGAAGCATAGTTCTTAGAAAATACAGTTATGGCCATCCTAGAATTTTCAATTGCTCTAAGAAGAGATGGGGTAATTTCATCCCCTCTTCTTAATTCCTCATCATCAAGAAAGGTGCGGACTCCCGCATGTTTTAAAGCATTATACAGATTTCCTGTAAAACCATGACGAGTATCTTCGCCTCGAAAATTGATAAAGACATCATAAGTCCATTGGTAACTGAAAGAGGAAGAAGTTGTTGCCAACCCCGTCATGATAGCTTCTTACTGGTAGAAACAAAGAAATCAATGTTAATTTAACTTTGGGAAGAAAAAAAAAATGCGAGTGTGATGATGCCCTGGGGAAAATATGGAAGTGATGTAGATCTCTGTATGAGTTCATTACTTACCAAGAAAACTGAAGTTGCTGATGACGAAGTAGCTGTGGGGCACACACGGTAAAGCAATGGCAACTAACAAAAAGAAAGATGGAAGCTTCAGGATGACTAATAAACTAGTCTCTGACAAGACATCCTTTTTAAAAAAAAAAAAAAAATTCAACTACGTTTTACTCCATGTCCCGGGAATATTAATCTTCTATATGGTTTGAGGGGATTGGAAGAAGGGAAAGGGACAAAAGATTTTAATGAGAGCTCAATTTTTTTAAAAGGGCAAACAATGGGATATAATTGTGATATAAAGGAGATGCAGGAAGGATGAATAATGAAATCAATTAAAATTTAAAATCTTCCATCTTATCTCTTTCATTACACTCAAAACCAAATAGATCAAAAAAGTTAATTAAAAGTTAAATATTAAGTAAATATAAATGAGATAATTTCACCCAAAAAAATAGTGTCAAGAAGGTGTGAAATAAAATTATATAAGTAATTACAGATAAATAACTATAATAAAATGCAATAACTATATTTTTAGACGAAAAGACAACTCAGCTAGAAGCAATAAATAACTATATGCTATTTGTCCTGCATCTGTTTAGATAGAAACACGTTTATATAGAAAATATAAACAACAACTTGTATAAATTTAGGTTCAGCTCAAAAAAAAAAAACTTGTATAAATTTAGGATTTATTATTCTATTCATACTTAAATATACCCCACGCATTATTTTGATTAGGAATGAACAGATCCAGAAGCCACACTATGGGGCTAAAATGCAAATCTATTCAAAGTGGGGGCTACTTAAAATTTGGAAAAAAAAACTTAAGTCAAGTTTCTTATATCTATTATGTCAAGTTTCCCAATCATACATGGTAATGTGTCTTTTTCTATTTCATGTAGATTTATAATTAAATACTATTAAATATTAATATTTCAAATATAAGACAGATGATCATGTGTTATTAGAGAATTTAACATAATGGACCTAAGGAATGTATCCTCCTTAAAATTAATTGTAACATCTTTTACAAATAAAAATAAACCAACTTTAATACAAATTCTGTAAAATGGGAGACAATGATCCCCCACAAAAAAAAAAAAAAAACAAAGCCATTTATGATTTTAGTGTAAATATTATTATGACCATTTAAGTTAAAATCATAAAAATCTTTATTTTATAAATAAGGATTAATATAATCTTTAGTCTTGAAATTAAAATTCATTTTATTTTTAATTTGTAAAATTTAAAATCAGTATTTTTATTCTTAAAATTTAAAACCATATTTAGCTTATAAAGATTAATGTTTATGAACAGAGTAAATTTTAAGAGTAAAAAAACACTCATTTCAAATTTCATGAAACAACGTCAAAGTGAGATCAAATTCTAGGAATTTAAAAATTATATTAATCCTAGAATTTATTTCTTTTATATTGTATAAATGCTTGCAGAAATTTTAGAATTTTGTGGGGTGTTAAAACTTTTCACCGTGTGGCTATTTAAAATTCTCCCTTTTAAAAAAAATAAGATTTTTAATAACAGATCCAAACACAAATGAAATTAAAGACTAGAACAATCCAAATGGAAAACGTTGAACGGGAAGGAATCCAATCCAGTCAACAACAAACTTAAACTCAGGCTCACCCTGACACTCTGTACAGAACATACCTCACGATTGTAGGAAGAACATTCGTTCTGGAGCTCACCAGATCTAGACCAGAGAACACGTTCGCCGTCGATCTCACCAGACCTGGACGTCGTCCGGCAACTGAAAACGGAGATGACAGATGGAGGACGTCGCCGTTGGCTGCTTCGGCGGCAGCGGGATGATGAAGGAGACAAGAGGGACCACTTGATAGAGAGGAATTGAACTGTAAAAATCAAAGCCGAAGAAATTACCTCAAGGATTGAGCCAAGAACGACGGAGGCGGTGATAATCGGAGACTCATGCCTCGAGGACGATATCCGCAATGGGTTGACAGTCATAAAAATATGCGTGCTGCCCTCTTTTGCCTTTTCTTTTTTAATTTTTTGGGAAAACCATATTGGAGGTACCTATACTTTTTTTTAATTTTCAATTTGGTACCTATGTGTTTTTTGTTCTTAACTAAATCTTTATTTTTCCTCTATTAACATCATTAATCCTTATGTAGAGACTACAAATATCAATAGAACAAAGTTATAAGAGCTAATATTGCTAAAAAGATAAAATTAAATGTTTAATTAAAGAGAAAAAAACACATAGGTACCAAATTAAAAATTGAGAGAAAGTATAGGTACCTTCAATATGGTTTTTCCTAATTTTTTCTTAGATACCTTCTCAGAAATTTCCAAGAACATGATGTTTTCTTAGATTGCATGTTGTACCTTCTCAGAAATTTCCAAGAACATCACTGACCGGCTGTAACCACCGACAAAAGCTGAATAGGATGACACTGACCTCTTGGCCTCGCTACTTTACGTGTGTTGTTACTGCTTCCTTTCATTTTTAATTATAAGAACTAGTTGACTAATTTAAAAAAAAATTTTTAAAAAAATTAAGTTAGTTATTTATCATAAATAAGTGTTATCTTTCCTAAAATATCCTTCTTAATCAGGTGTTTTGACTAGAATTATCATTGTTAGAAAAACTATCTTGAAAAAAAATATAAATATTATAGACAAAATGAATTACGGTCTTATATTTATAATCAAAATAAAAATTAAACAAAAACTTATATTAAAAATGGGAGGTACTATTTTTCAGTAGCACTCTAGATCTTATTAATTATGATAAAAGTGAAAAATAAAAGTGAAGAGAGAGAGAGAACAAGTGAAAAAAATATAATAGTATTTAATGTTTTTCTTAATAAGAACAAAAATAAAAGATTTTATCTATTTAATGTTCTTCTTGATATGTGAAAAGAAAAATAATAAAAGAGAAACCAAAAATTTGAAAATACTAAATAAAGAATGTTAATAAAAATTTAAAAGCCCTTAAAAGTGACAAATAACAGGGACCACAGAGGCACGTGTGATGGATGGTTGCAAGAAGTCAAAACTCAAAATTCTTTTCTGATCTCTACATGCATTTTTACTTTCTTTTTTCCCTTTTTTAATAAAAGAAAGCAATAGTGTCACTGAAAATGACCAAAAAGAGGTGTGAACTGTAAAAATCAAAGCCGAAGAAATTACCTCAAGGATTGAGCCAAGAACGACGGAGGCGGTGATAATCGGAGACTCAGGCTGCGGGGACGATATCCGTGATGGGTCGACAGTCATAAAAACATGCGTGCTGCCCTCTTTTGCCTTTTCTTTTTTAATTTTTTCTTAGATTGCATGTTCTACCTTCTCAGAAATTTCCAAGAAAATCACTCACCGGCTGTAACCACCGACAAAAGCTGAATAGGATGAAACTGACCTCTTGGCCTCGCTACTTTACGCGCGTTGTTATTACTACTTCCTTTCGATTCTAATTATAAGAACTAGTTGACTAATTTAAAAAATTAAAAAAAAGTTAAGTTAGTTATTTATCATAAATAAGTGTTATCTTTCCTAAAATATCCTTCCTAATCAGGTGTTTTGACTAGAATTATCATTGTTAGGAAAACTATCTTGAAAAAAAAATATAAATATTATAGACAAAATGAATTACGGTCTTATATTTATGATCAAAATAAAAATTAAACAAAAACCTATATTAAAAATGGGAGGTACTATTTTTCAGTAGCACTCTAGATCTTATTAATTATGATAAAAGTGAAAAATAAAGGTGAAGAGAGAGAGAACAAGTGAAAAAAATATAATAGTATTTAATGTTTTTCTTAATAAGAACAAAAATAAAAGATTTTATCTATTTAATGTTCTTCTTGATATGTGAAAAGAAAAATAATAAAAGAGAAACCAAAAATTTGAAAATACTAAATAAAGAATGTTAATAAAAATTTAAGGGAAAATTACACTCAGGTCCCACAGAGCATAATTAATATCAAAAAGGTCCCTCGAAATCGCGAAATGATTCTGAAGTCCCCAGGGACCTGTGTGTAATTAATTCTAATTGTGAAATTACCTACTTACCCCTGTTAATTTTATTGCAGCAATTCGTTTACAATCTCAGTAGTGGCTGTTAACAACCCGAGAAGACGTGCTTGACAACCTCGGCAGTGCTCATGACAACTCACTCTGTGGAATGCCAGGGGCATTGTTGAGGTTGTTAACCACCTCTTCTTGGGTTGTTAACTGCCACTGTTAATGTTGTAAATAGGTTCTAATTTTATTGCAGCAATTCGTTTACAATCTCAATAGTGGCTGTTAACAACCCCGAGAAGACGTGCTTGACAACCTCAGCAGTGCTCATAACAACTCACTCTGTGGAATGCCATGGGCGTTGTTGAGGTTGTTAATCACCTCTTCTCGGGTTGTTAACAGCCACTGTTGAGGTTGTAAATAGGTTCAAATTAACAGGGGTAACTACGTAATTTCACAATTAGAATTAATTACACATAGGTCCCTGGGGACTTCAGAATCATTTTCTCGATTTCAAGGGACCTTTTTTATATTAATTGTGTTTTGTGGGACCTGAGTGTAATTTTTTCAAAATTTAAAAGCCCTTAAAAGTGACAAATAACAGGGACCACAGAGGCACGCGTGATGGATGGTTGCAGGAAGTCAAAACTCAAAATTCTTTTCTAATCTCTACATGCATTTTTACTTTCTTTTTTCCCTTTTTTTTTAATAAAAGAAAGCAATAGTGTCACCGAAAATGACCAAAAAGAGGTCTGAACTGTAAAAATCAAAGCCGAAGAAATTACCTCAAGGATTGAGCCAAGAACGACGGAGGCGGTGATAATCGGAGACTCAGGTCGCGGGGACGATATCCGCAATGGGTCAATAGTCATA